CTAAAAGCTATTTTGCTGCAAAGTAGGTGATAAAAAAATCTTCTATCTGACACCTGACAGGTTGGGAGTGGGCCGGGGTTGCACATCTATGACATGAGGCCATAATGTATCAAAAGAGATTTGATTCCTGACACCTGGGTGCAGGGGGGCTGAGACCCAGAAAGGCATCCGCGGAGAGAGCAGGGAGAGACAGGTTTCTGTGGATCCTTGGTGGCTGGCTGCAGCCGCTCTGCTGAAGTGGGGGTCTGGTCCGTCCTTGGTTCCTCCCATGCCAGGTGTCCCCTGGTTCTCTGAGCTGTGCTGTGCTCACGGCTGCAAGCTGTCTGGGAGATATCTGCTAAGCACAACAAGTCTTTCTCTGCCCCATTCTATTCTCTTTAACCCTTTCATTCCTGTCTTTAGGGGTATATATAAAGGAAAAGAAGGGGGATGGGGTTGACATTCCTCTTTGTCTGCTTCATGCATGGGAGGGTCTGTTGTGGACACCTAAGGAGTAAATTCAGATTATTTCCTGGGGTATAGACCCATAGGGTCCCTTTGCCTGGCTAAGGACAAACTGTCCTATTGTTTGGTTAACAAAGACTTGTAATCTTGTTTCTATAAACTTCGTAACTAATTTTAAAATGCAGGGCTCAAGGAGGAGGAGGAAAATAGTGCCAGGAAGTCCAAAGAGGGTAAAAGCCAGGTTAATGTGGGCAGAGCTGCTTGCAGGCTGGACCATATGGTCTGCTCTATGCTGTGTGGCCTGGGCATGAAGCCAGATTTGGCGCCAGCCATTTCCCGAAGGGGACACTTTAAGGCTAGTGCCAAAGTGGGGGAGGAAGAGAGTGAAACCTGCTCGGAGTGGTGTGAGATGGGGAGGTGGCGGTGGGATCTGCTGGGCAGGGTGGTGGGCTCTCAGGCTGCTGAGATGGAGGAGCCCTAAGCTAGGGGACCGGGGATGGTCGGCTAGATCAAAACTGGTGAAGGAGCAGGAGGATCTGAGATCCTCTGGGGGCTCAGAGTGAAGAAGGAAAATCGTGAGGGAGAGCAGCTGTGACAGAGAGAAGGCGGTGTCCCTGAGTGTAAGAAGCCTGGACATACAGGACCTCAGGCCACTTGCCCTGCCTGCGGCGGAATTGTCCAGGTCAGTTACAATTTGGAAATCAAAAGTGCCGTTTTACTGAGGCCAGAGGACCGGTGAGAATTCTAGGGTCTGAAGGCTTTAGGTAAACAGCCCAGGGGTGTGGTGCGGGGAATGGTCGCCTGCGAATTCCCCATGGAACTGGCAGTGGCTTAAGGTCTGCTTTCCGTGAAGTTAAGCCCAGGAAGACATCCCTGTCTCCCCCTAATGTTCACCAGAAATGGACGGAGCTCTCCCTCCATGACAGGCGTCTCATCAGGAGATGGGGCAAGGGAACCTGGTCCCTGGGGACTTGTCCCAACCAGTGCTGGATTGCCGTGGGGCCAGCCGAACCCAAACCCAAAATGACAGGACCGTCTGTCGGAGGAAAACAGACTAAAGCCACTTACCTATGAATCTATGCCCGGTATTGATGCGGGAGGAGGCAAGGCAGGAGAGGTCCACTGTCCAGTCACGGCCCAACCCAGACCAGTCTGGAGGAAGGCTAGGGGGGCCCAAGTCAGTGTCGCCAGTTAGCAGAAGCTCACCAGTGCAGGAGTGTGGCTGGGGAGCCTTCCCCGGACACAAGGAGAGCTCAGGAGCCGGAAGATCATGGTCTCTCTGAGTGCCCAGTGCCCAGTTGCTGGAACCCTGCGATGGCTCTTACCGGACCCCTTACTAGACCTTCCCAGGTTGCGGCACCAAAGGAAAGGTTCCGGGTGGGCCAATGTCATGTACCTTTGACATGAGGCCACAATGTATCAAAAAGATTTGATTCCCAACTCCTGGGTGTAGGTGGGCTGAGACCGAGAAAGGCATCAGCAGACAGAGCAGGGAGAGACAGGTTTCTACAAATCATTGCTGGCTGCAGCCGCTCTGCTGACACAAGGGTCTGGTCTGTCCTTGTTTCCTCCCATGCCAGGGTCTTCTGGGCTATGCAGTGCTCAAGGATGCAAGCTTTCTGCTAAGCACAAGTCTTCCTCTGCCCCATTTTGTTCTCCTTAACCCTTCCATTCCCACTGGGAACATCTATGTCTGGGTTTCAGTTCAGGCGTCTGCAAACTTATTGTTCCAGGATGTGGGTTTGCCCCGAGCAGCAGCGAGGGCTACACGGATTATAGATCAGCAGCATCCTGTCACGGCTGGGGCTGGGTTAAGCTGTCTTCACACTGTTCCTATCAGCACGCCTGCTGTCCTTCTCCATTACAATGCAGGGTCAGGAGGGCCGGCCTCTGCCTCCTCTCCGTGGGAGCCTGGGAGCCTGGCTTCCATCCGTCCAGCTGGCTGACACCGGGCCCAACCCCACTGATGCTCACCGGCCCTTTGCAAATTCTCATTACGCGGATCCTGAGCCCCAGCCTGTCCCTGTCATGTGCGCACCCTTTAAAACACCCGTCACCTCTGTGCCAGTCAGAGTGGAGCTCAGGAAAGTCTGTTTATCGCTGACACGTGGGAGCGTGTCTGAGTGTCTCTGAATGAAGTGGGCGGTGCGGCTTTTCCTTCCCAGCTGCTCACGTGGCACCAAGTCACGGTCTTCCACAGAAACCTGCTGTGTTCTCTGTTTTGAGCATTTTTCCTTCCGGCGGAGGAGGCTTAGGTGGGCTTGTTAGGACACCAGGCGTCCTGGTCCCTGTCACTTGGCGTGGGGTGGCTTTGGGGAGCTCTTTCCATGGTCCCTCCTCAGTCTTCTCCTCTGTACAGTGGGCATCTAACACGGGTATCAGTAGGGTTTGGGGGCAGATTGAGACAATTGAGAGCCTGGGAAGTCCCGCCCAGTGTTGACAGTTGGAAAGCAGCCGCTCTCGGGGTCTTGGCCCGCTTCCCCAGCACAGCGCTGTGGGCAGGGGTGGCTCACGCCCAGCTCCTGGGCCGCCCAGAACCATCCCGGCCCAGCCCTGGGTCGTGAGAGCTCACAGTGGGTTTCCCCAACTCTGCACGTGCTTCAGGCTCCCAGTGGCCAGCCCTAACCTAGACCTTGTGGGCACTGCCTGTGTCCTCCCCACGGCACCCCCTGCGGCTCTCTGGGCCTTTCAGCACCTACAGGGCCGCTGTCTCCCTCACACCCACAGCTCCTTCCCCCTCCCGTTCTCTCCCTGCCTCTTCTCCGCTCTCCTGGTGGCCTGTTGCCCTGCAAACACCCGCTCCTTCTGTGGTTCCATTGGAGGGGACCCGGGTCTCTGAGTGAACATGAATGTGTTGAGTAAACATGGCCCGGTCCCTGACCTGCAGTGTAACGCCCCATGTCTTGTGTTACAGGTCACTGAAGCGATCATGAAAGGTAGCATGTTTACAGGCGTCCTCGGCATGGGCTTGGCCATGATCGGGGCCCTCATGACGGTCCAGCGGAACTGAGGTGAGCAGGAAAAGTATTGAGGCCAAGGACTCATCTTAGTGGCAACCAGTTAGTATGTAGAAGACTTGCATAGCCAGCGGGGGTGGGGTTTCAAATTGATTTCACTGTTTTACACTCATTTATGCTAAATTTTTTTAAAAATATGTTTTTATTGACTTTTTTATTTTTATTTTTATTTTTTAGAAATTGAGGAAGGGGCAGGGAATGGAGGGAAACATCGAAGAGAGAAATTCATCAGTGGCCGCCTCCTGCACGCTTCCTTCTGGGGATCAAGCCTCTGGGAATTGAACCTGAGACCCCTTGGTTCATGGATCAAAACTCAACCCCTGAGCCACACCAGCCAGGCCATTCAGGCTGCTTTCAATGGAGCTATAAAAGCACAGGAAGACTTAATTGGGGAAATACGGCTGGTGTGAATGCTATTAAAGACACAGTTGGGCTCTGTCTTGCACTGAATGCCTGTGTCCCACTTACCCCCTCCCCCCATTCACGTTGCACCCCTAACCCCCAATGTGACGGTGTTCGGAGCTGGGCCTCTGGGAGGTCATGAGGCTCAGAGGAGGTCATGAGGTGGTGATGAGGGTGCGGGGTGGGCATGATGGGATTGGCGCCCTTACAAGACAGACCAGAGCCCTCTCTCCTCCATGTGAGGACATAGCGAGAAGGTGGCCATTTGTAAGCCAGGAAGAGGTTCCACCAGGAACTGCATCTGCCAGCACCTTCGCCTCGAACTTGTCAGCTTCCAGGACAGAGAGAAATGACT